TAATCTAACATTTTCAGTAAGAATAATGGACAAAAGGAGTGCAAATACAAATACAATTTATTGAAATCTGAACCAAAAGTTAATCAAACATGTTTTAAATAAAAAAGCACATATGGACAGAAGGTGTAAACCTATTAAATGCATAAGTAAACACATTTAGTCAAATAAAGTGACAGACAAGGCCTGTGCAGGTGGTATCAGCTATGCCCAGCATGGGCTCCTCCATCAGGCCTGGTCCTCCTCACAGAGGAAAGACCCTCAGTCCTCTCCAAACCAACAGACTGGACGTCCATCACACGGAGATTTCTCCCTGAAGTCTCTGCAGCTCTCTGGACACCACGCTGTCTCAATCCGTCCACACTGAATATGAGTGGGGAAAAATGAAAATAATAAATGCTTTAGACCAGGGGTCGGCAACCCCTGGCACGCGTGCCAGCATTGGCACGCGGCACCGTAACCAGTGGCACCCTAGGAATAAGTGGAATAAGTGTGCAAAATATTTAAATTGTATTTTCGGATCCTGAACGAGACCGCCGCCAGAGCGCGTCTCCCCGCACGCAGCGCAGCCCCGCTCTCTTTAACTCCAGGTGACTTTCTGCCGCTTTCCTCCGTGGTGCAGGGCTGATCGTTTCACCACAGAGGAAAGCACTTCACAAATTGCAGTACCCATAAGGAGCTTTACAAATGCCGCAGTTTTTGCGTGGCTGTGTCTTTAGTTGAAAGCCCAGTGGCGATCTGCTCATCTCTCATTGAAATAATATGCTACAAAGGGGCGGACTGGCCATCTGTGTGTTGAACTTTCCTGTCGGCTCCCAGACCGTAGTCGAGGAGGGCAGAAGCAACAAGCTTCAGGTTCAATAACCCACTTTAGCTTAAATGACTGGAGAGAGGCGAGCTCTGCTTGGGAGGCCGTTGCATTTATTTAGCTGTTCTTCTGTTTCACAAAATACATCACAGACCTGTTTTTCTGCTGCCTCGTTTCACTTCCAGAAACATACACACGTCACGCTCGCTCACTCTCGCTCTACCATCCACACACACACATGCAGACGCCACACCCCTCTCTCTCTCTCTTAAAGGGACAGCGATCTCATCTCACTCTGCATGACCCTAATATCATAATATGTGTGTTCTGGAGAATCACAGAACGGACGATCGTCCTTATTATTATGCCGTTTAAACCAGGTCCACACACTGCTTCCCCGCAGCGAGGCCCCCCCGCCCTCCTGTTGATAGTTCATGAGCGTCAAGCTCCTCAACCCCCCCCCCCCCCCCCCCCCCCCGTTGATAATTCTCGATCGTTGGCACGCTGATAACAACCTTTTTTTTTAATGGCACTTCATATCAAAAAGGTTGCCGACCCCTGCTTTAGACAATAAGAAATATAAAGTTGACTGTTGAGTTGCTCAGTTTTTTTAGATTGTCAATACTATTACTGTATAACTAATATCTCAGGTTAAGAGGCACATTCAAATAAAGATTGGTCTTTAAATACATTTTGTCTTTTGAATTGTTTGTCTAAAGTCAAGGATCTAGAACTGGTACTTATAGTTTTAATGATACAGTCTGGTTATAATGCTGTTTGGAGGAGGCCTCACAGGTAAGAGCACTAACTAGCTACCATCACATGTACCTTAGCTTGACTTAAATGTATTAAACGTATAATTAAGTGATAGCAAAATATAAATAACTAATGTCATGCAAACATATTAATAATTTGCTTGATTCCAGTGTTGCATTTAGCACATTGCATACAAACGTTAAGGGATTTTAAGATTCTGAAGTATTATGCTAAAAACTCAATAACTTAGATTATTATTTATAGTTTTGCTGAATAGTTTCATGTCCGCTTACCTTAGAAACGTATAATGTGACGGCAGTGTGCAGATGGGGAGCATGTTAGCTTAGCTTCTTAGCTTGAGCTAGCTCTGTTACTTCCTGCTCGGGGGCAGCAGGTCCCGCCTCGGCTCCGCCTCTTTGCCCTTATTTGGAGCAGGCGGGAGTTAGACTCTGACGTCACTGTAGAGCCGTTAGTGGCCGACTCCGCCTACTAAGGGCTTCTCGGCAACTCTGCAGAATCCTATGGGTGACGTCACGGACCCTACGTCCATTTATATATACTGGGTGTTTCTCAATCGCGAGTAAAGCTGCTCCAGAGCCACTATTTCAAGCATACTACGTCATCGAGTGCCGCCGAATTACTGTTCCAATCTCCAGCATACTTGGAAATCTACCGAGCCCGGCGTACTCCGTTTGGAGAAATATCGAGGCTGCACATGAGTAGACTCCGCGGTCTTAAAATCCCCACAATGCTTTGTGCACGGACCAATTTCCCCAAATCTGTGACGGAAAATGTAAGGCGGGGCCTCTCATATGACGCACACTTGCTAGCCTGTTCCACTCTTTGTTTTCCGAATGCCAGGAAGTATTCTTGCCTCGCTTCTGAAGCAAGATGCTCGGCAGACATGTGCTACCAAGCAAGCGTACTCGCGATTGAGAAACACCCACAGTCTATGGGCTGCAGGCAGGGCCAGATCTAATAGTAATTAGAAATTATCCTACGGGCCGAAATTAAATCCACCACGGGCCTGATTTGGCCCCCGGGCCTTGAGTTTGACACATGTGCTCTAGCATACATGTCAAACTCAAAGCCCGCGGGCCAAATCAAAGCCTGAAGTCGGACAGCTCGGAATCAACTTCTTCTTCTTCTCTCGGTTTTTGGCGGATTGCAAACTACTTTAAGGTGCCTACCGCCACCTACTGTACAAGAGTGTGTATCACCATATCATCCTATCACCACTTGTGGAATTATACCATGTATTTACGTTGTTTTAAATTCTTCCAATCAATCCTGTTTCACTCAAATACTTAAGAATGGCCTTCCTGGTAGCTCTTACCCCCTCGCCTTCTGTTCCCAGTGTCCCCATCAGGCTCCACTCCCTTCCTGCCTCTCTGACCCTGTCTCTTAGTTGTTCCCTCTCTGTTTTGTACATGTTGCAGTGTAATATGATGTGTTCCACATTTTCTTTCACTCCACACCCCCTGCATTCTTCAACTTTGCTTTTTACCATTATAAACATTGTGCCGTTTAATCCTGTATGATCCAGTCTGAGTCTAGTGATGATGATCTCCTCCCGTCTGTTCCTTTCTGTATAGATCTTTGTTATGACTGATTTCTGTAACTTGTGGTATCTCCTCCCTTTCTGATCTTCCTCCCACCTTTTCTGCCATATTTCCATACCCTTCTTCTTAATTATTGCTTTTCCTTCTCCTTTTCCAAGTGAAACTGGTATTGCTATTTCCTTCTGTAACGCATCTTTTGCTAATTTATCAGCATGCTCATTCCCTTGAACCCCCTCATGTGCAGGCACCCAGCATAACTGCACATCTATTCCCCTTCTCTGAAGTCTCAGTAAGCAATGGTTAAGTTCAATAATGAAATCTTCTCTAACAGTTATTGTCGACTGTATGCTTTCCAAAGCAGATAGTGAGTCTGTGCATATCACCACCCTATCAGGTCTCTTCAACCTATTGTAGCCCAATAATTGCTGCGAGTATTTCTGCTGTATAAACTGATAAATTATGTGACACTCGTTTTGAGATTGATATTTTGAATTCTGGTATACACGCCTATCCCCACGCATTCTTGCTTCTTAGATCCATCTGTATACATTTTGAGGTAATTGTAATACTTTTCGTTCAGGTACATACTCGTTTTAATTCCCACTTCATTTATTTGCCACTCTTTTTTCCTTTCTATGATACTCACATCTATATTAGCTTCTGGGGAAAGCCATGGGGGAACACTGCTAAATGGGCTTGCTTTGGCAAACTTTATGGTCTCCACTCCATATGCCCTCGTTCTCTCCTTACTTGTCCAGCCAAACCCACGCCCCTGGAACTTTGTATATTCCCAGCAATCCTGTAGTATTCTGTTTGTGATATTTTCCTCTCCACTTCCTTGTAGCCTGACCCAGTAGGCCTATGACAGAGCAAGTTTCTCTCTTCATGCACAAATGTGTTTAATCGTTAATGTCAGATATGTACTAAGTAAATACATTTGTTCCTGCTCAAGATTAGATTCAACTTTATTGTTATTGCACAGATTACAGGTACTGAGACAACGAAATGCAGTTTAGCTTCTAACCAGGAGTGCAAAAAGCAGTAAAGTGAAAAGTAATGTACACAATCTACAGAATAAAATATAGAATGAATTGAATGACGAATACACAGTGAGGGATATGAATACACTATACACAGTAGCCTAGCCTAGTATGAACAGTGTGTTGTATGAATATGCTAAGATATATAAAGTATGAAAACGGTAAGCAGTGCAAGTATAGTATAACATATATAGATATTAATTTAATGATGATAAACATTGTGGAACAATGATGAAAAATGTGAATGGAAGTGGCGACGTAAAACTGACACAAAACAACAACACACTTTTGCCGAGCCAATGGAGAGTTTCATCCCCAGCACGGGGTAAAAACCATCAATGAGCGCTCAGCTCGAGATACCAGCGAGTCGTTTCCCATCAAGCATTTCGCTTCCGCAGCCCGTGGAGAGAAACTGCGCCGCCTCGCCGCGCCTCGCTCTCAAGTCTGCGGGCGTCTTTGTCCCGCGAGATTTCAACGTCTCATGTAGGCGAGCCTCCTGAGAAAGTCGGACAAAATGACTAACCATCATGCAACGCACTAGCAAGACGTTGATCGCAATTGCGCAGGTCTGCGCAGGTCTCGCTTGTCTCAAACAAGCCTATAGTCTGGCCGCTGCAGGAAGGAAGGACCTGCGGTATCTCTCCGTGAGACAGCGGGGTATGGCGTCAGGTCCACCAGAACAACCTGCTGGCTCGTTGTGGAAACGTATTTTCACATTCTAGCACAGTTTATTGCTAGAAATGGTAGACATTCTTCATTCCAAGATAACACTGAAAGAACTACATTAACCAGCAGGCTTTGCGGGAGAGTCACTCACCTTGTTGCCTGGCAACGCCCCCAAACTTAAACGGATGACTTGGACAGTCAAATGTAAAGGTTTGACGCGTTAAATATGAGGCAAAATTCACGTTAAAACATTTTGGTAAGTGCAATTTTGATATATAATATCTAAAAATGTATTTTCCACCGCTGTCTTTTACGTTATGTTCACATTCAGAGTTGTTTAAAGCTTAACGTCGGTTCGGTGAAGTTGGAAATAACGTTTTGAAAAATAAATTGCCCTCTTTATTTTTCAGAATGCAAAAACAGAGAAGCAGATGAGTAAACAGCGGAAATGTCGGAAGAAAACACAACTACTGTTGGTGAACAGACTGAGAAGAGAGAGACTGCTACACAGGATAACGGTGAAGGTAGCCTAACTGTGGACATTTACCTGTATAACGTCAACGTGATGGTCAGATAGCATCACCGGCTTTTTTAGCTAGCGTTACCTAGCCTTAGCTAAAGGCTTTTAGATTAACATGTGGAATTTGCAAGATGAGAACTTTAGCTTATAATACTTTAAGTATATTTTGATGCTTGTACTTTTACTGGAGTGCAATTTAAATGCAGAGGTTTTACTTATAACAGAGTATTTCTACTCTCTGGTATTGCTACTTTTACTCTAGTAAATTATGTGAGTACTTCTTTCACCACTGGAGATAAGTAATTTATAAAGTGAATGAAATGTCAGTAAAAGTAGAAGCATTTAATGATGTGAGATGCAGTGTAGTTGCTGAAGTAAGAGTATCTCTTAGTTAGTTGGTAAGTTAGTTAGTTAGTCAATAAGAAATACAAGTAGTGACACTGTTAGTTAACTTGTAGTAATGCAGTCACATTGTCATTTACGAAATAGCAGATAGCATAGACATTTTAGTTAAGGTGGAAGGATTGCTGAGAACAGTCCAAGTGTGTGAGCTGTAAACAGTTGAAATGTCAGCTGGTATTCTAATTTAACGAGTTCAATCATTTTTGCCTGCAGTGTAAGCTGCTTCCACATTTCTGTTCAACCTCTCCCTTGTCTAACAAAAGATTGTATGCATGCTACAAGTGTTGCTGGAGTTTAACCTCTCCAACATGTTACCCCCTCACGATAAACACCCAGTGATGCAGCATGAGGCTGAAAACGGATCAACAAAGCAGCTCTCTGAGTACTACAATTATGAGGAACTTCACTCCAGACCATACATCACACCGGACTCTGAAATCCCAGAGAACCTCCTGCACCTCTGGTATCCTTTATCATTGTTCTTAAATGTTACACCACATCTCCTACAACTTTTGAAAGTACATTTTGTGTGACACTTTAGGGAATCTGATCTTGATCCTTATTCTGTCCTGCGTTCAGTCACTCCTTTGGCTATGACAGTGGGCGCAGGGGGAACCTGCAGCTGCTGGATGACAACACTCTGATCTTTATCGCCGGGAACCTGCTCGTGCTGCTCGACGTTTCCACCAAGGAGCAGAGATACCTCCGCTCCTGCAGTGGAGGAGGAATCGGCACCATCAAGGTACGATAGTGAACACTGCAAGGGAAGAGTGCTAGTCTGTGGGATGGAGTGAGAAGGATAAACAGACGGTTAACTTCAATTTCAGAATCAATCAAAATTTGATATAAAAAAAATTCCCAGGGGAAATTGGTTTTGTAACAGTAAGTTCATTTTAGGATCAAATCAAATAGAATAATAGATATGGATTACAGACATTTTCTTACCTGGCTTTAAATGCAAACCACCACCAGAGGGAGACATAGCTCTTGTTAGGCCTTATTGATGTATTGTCAATTTAATTTTGTATTTCTCCTCTTCTCTCTGCACCATATCTCTCCAAAAGCGGTGCTGCAACACAGGAAGTATGAGAAAAATAGAGCTCTTTTTGAGCATTACAGCAGGGAAAAATGTTTCAGTAGAGACACACAATACAAAGATGAACCTGAAAATGAGCATAGTAGGGCCCCTTTAAAATATGTTGGACATGCACACCTATTACGGCACTCTCACCTGGTGTATTCAATAAGACAAACATAACCTTAGCATAGTCTAATAGTATCAATATATAAACACATGTACAAAAACTGTGGTATTAATGTATTTCATTTGTGTTGTGTGTATGTCAAGGCACATCCAAGCAAAGAGTGCTTCGCTGTAGCAGAGAAGGGAATCCAGCCCAACATCATAATGTATGAATATCCCTCGTTACGGCCGTTCTGCATCCTCAGAGGTAAATGGGAACAAGATGCTGTGAGTTTTTCAAATGTGATGTTTTATTGATGTGTTAACTTTCATGTTTTGCAGGTGGTACGGAGAGGGCGTACTGCTTTGTGGATTTTAACCAAGACGGGAGCCTGCTGGCCAGCGTGGGGGCGGACCCCGACTACATGCTGACGCTGTGGGACTGGAGGAGGGAGGAGGTGATGCTGCGCTGCAAGGCCATTTCTCAGGAGGTGTACCGAGTCAGCTTCTCCCCATACAACCCGGGACTTCTCACATCATCGGGATCTGGACACATCAAGTACTGAATCCTCCTCAAACCCTGTTCAAAACAATGTTAGGCCCACTGGAAGAAATATAAAAATAATGGCTTTGAATCTTTTATGTAAACATGTAATTATGAAGCCATTTGCTGCCTTTATCCAGATTCAGCTAAAAACCCCCTTTAATATTTTCCCCTAAGCGTAAAAAGGACTGTGTGTAACTCCTACTGTTTAGCATGTATTGCAATGTGAAAGCATTTGCTTCGTAATATATCATTCTTTATTTAGAACTTTACCCCTGCCTTATTCGTCACATTATATCAGCGCTGATCGAGGCCACCTGGCCGCCGGTACCGGAGGAGTGAAAGGCTCGAGCCAGAGTCTCGTTCGCTCTCTCCGCTGAGGATCTGTTTTGGGAGAGCAGCTACTTCGTTTATGCTTTTGCTTTACATTTATATTAGTTTTGGCATTCAAACACCTCGCACCACACCTTAGGCGCTTTCACACCGGAGTACTTTTCCCGTTTAGTTCCGATAGTTCCTGGGATTTTGCGTTCACACCAAAAGGAGAACTTAGTTCATGAGAACTTTTACCCCCATTTTAGTCCCTGCTAGAGAGGTGGTACTTTCCTGGGGAGAAAAAAGTTCCAATTTCTGATTGGCTGGGCGAATTGCAAACCACGCCCCGTAAAACTCTGAAAAGTTTTGTGAAGCCGCCATTGTATTTGCTGGCATTAGCATTATTAGCATTAGCATTAGCCCCGCGCACCAACGCAGAGAGACTTATGGCAACACAAAAAAAAACACGGGAGCGGTGGAGTGATGAGGAGGTGTCGGCGTTCTGGCGATTTACTCGGAAGGCTTCAGTCCCCAACTCCGGCCGGGGACTTCGGGTGGCAGTATACGCCGTAAAGTTGTTTCCACGCTGTTGTTATGGCCAAGAGCCAGGCCATGACAAAAACGTAATCAGTTTCTCCCCAAACCGGCATATAAGATTACATGTTGTATGATAATTATATGTTATTAATGTTTCCAAATAAGAGGACAATACATTTTCTCCTCTCTGTCAGGTTCTGGAAAATGGCCGACACATACACAGGGCTTAAATTGCAAGGGCTTATGGGAAATTTTGGGAAAACTGCAGCGACTGATATCAAGGGCTACGTGGATCTTCCTGATGGAAAGGTGTGTGCCCTGCAGCTCTGACACAACATCTGAAATGTTTCTCTAAATATTTATTTACTTCCCAAATGGAGCATTACAGAATTTGTTTTCAATCATTAACATGTCAAACCAACAGTTGTACATGACATGTACTCACACACCAATAGAAACTCAGATTGTTCACTAAACTGTGATTCATGCAGTCTCAAGCAATGAGTCTGTTTTACATTCAAGTTTGTACTCTGAACCTTATGGCTGTTAAACATTGGATAACATTTTTTCAAGAGAATTCCCTCCATATCCATGATTGGTAGATCATTGTTAAGGCATAGTTATCAGAATTGATGTGGAGCTACAAATCAATCTAGATTGTTTTGGTGTGAGTTGACAAGTGTTGGAGATTTTGTAAAAGTTAATCCTGACCCTCGCCTCTCTTCGTCTCCTCCTCTCAGGTGGTGTCCGGCTCAGATTGGGGAAACCTGCTGCTGTGGGAGGGGAACGCCATCAAGGTGGAGATTTGTCGTAAGGGGGGGGGGAAATGCCACGCCGGGATGGTCCAGCCGTTCGCCCTGGAAGACGGACAGCTGATGACCATCGGCTATGATGGAGTGGTTCGGGTAAGATGCTTCACTTCAAACGTGTCAGAAATATTTTCAAAAACATAAAATGTTCTGATTAAATTAACAATAAACTCCTATAACTGTTCAGTGTTTTTTTCTACATTAATAATGGCTTTTGTTTGTAGTTTTTGTGTGTAAATAATAGAGTGGTACAGAGACTAAATGAGACGACTTAACGTCATCACACCGACCATTAGCTTCCTTTAGCTTAGCGGTGGTGAAGTCAAGTCACTGCGATGTAGTTTGTTTATAGCCTAACGTTAGCTTTTTTGCCTCTCGAGATTACATTTACACTTCAAAAATCTTAAAAGTGGTGTTAATATGTAGAGATGATCCTGCTGAACAAAAAAGGTGTCATAAATAAACGTGGGTTTGCCAAAGATCATAGGCTACAATTAGAAATATGTTCCTTTTTTAAGCCAATTGACCCTTCTTGGCACTCCTTATCAACCTTATTGAGCCGGATTGATGATCTAAACTCGGATTTCTTTGTAGTTGCCTTTTTTGAAATCGGTCTGAATTTGTAACCCCCCTGCCCCCTGCAGGGCTGGGACTTTGAAAGCATCGACACCGCAGACAGTACCGGTGACAGCGGGCGGTTTGAGCTGGAGCCCATGAACGAGCTGTTGGTGGGACACAACGTGTGCCTCTCCTCGGTGGTGAAGAGCTCGCAGCCGTCCGACTCCTTCATCTGCTTCGCTCAGGTCAGAGGGGAGTCAGAAGCTCATCCTTACAGCTATGTGTAATATCTGATCTCCATCAAGATACCAAACCTGATCTCTGCACTTTTATAGGACACCGGCGGAGCCATCTGGAAACTGGATCTTTCATTCACCTACACTGTGAGTTCCATACACTTACTTTAGTATTTTATCATTCTTGTTAACAAATATTTCAATTGTCTTGTAACAGGTTCTTCTTGTTACTATTAAGACCATTTTTCTTATACATTTGGTAAAAAGTGTGATTCTTTATTTGTCGACAAAATACAAATATGGACCTGAAAATGAGCACATCTCCTCTTTAAGATACAAATCAAACCAAAGATGACTCCCATGAGACGCTTTCTCACTTTAAATAACCGTTGATGTGTGATCTGTGTGCAGACTCCTGATCCAGAGTGCCTGTTCTCCTTCCACGCCGGGGCCATCCAGGGCCTGGACGTGTCCAGGATATCCCACCTGATGGCCACGACCACTCTAGACCGTGAGTATCATACCCTTTCTCCCCTACACACATACAGGTTTTTGTCGTAACATAACACACATCTAACCACAAATGATATACTCCCCCTAAACTGAGGAACGACCTGCCCTGGCTAATCAGACAGGCTCCCACACTCTCTGTTTTTAAATCCCGTCTTAAAACCCACCTTTTCCCCTTAGCATTCGTAAACAAGTAGATGGTTGCTTTTATTTGCTTTCAGCGGTCTATTGTTTTTACTATATGGTTGTTTTTATTTTTATTTTGTAATTGTTACGTTTATTCTGTTTTGTGTTCATATCTTTTATGTGATTTTATACTTATTTTTATGTTTTGTGAGCTGAGCTGTGTGATTTTATATTTGATGTATCTCTCTGTACAGCACTTTGGTCTGGAGGTTTTAAAGTGCTTTATAAATAAAGTTGGATTGGATTGGATTGGATATACGCAGCGGTACATTTCCTCTAAAGGATGTCGTAAAGAGCCCCAATTTATTTATCTTCCCCCTTTCTTCCTCTAGTCATGAAACACTTCTTCCAAACAGAAAACATTTGTTTTATCAGATATATTATCACTTCAGTGTAACATCAAAGCTTATTTTTATCGCAAGGCAGAATCTGTTAAAAATGACATTGAATGAGAGTTTTATTGAAGCTTTTATACCAGTTTTCCGGACAAACACAAACCGTAACAGGTCCGTCCTTTTTCTCCAGGTACCGTCAAAGTTTTTGACTTCCTGGCAAAAAGAGAGCTGACCTCCAGTCGCTTCAATCAGGGTGGAACTGCTCTCAGCTGGGCGCCAACTTTGGTGAGTGTGTCAATAGAGTGGTGCAGGAATGAGTCCTAAAACCTGGAAATGCATTTTCCCACTTCCAAGTCTCAAAGGCAGTTTATTTGTTTTTGGTTTACCGGTAGATGCCTGAAATAAGTTCTGTGGTTTAAACAACTTAACGAAAACATTTTTATCATAGACATTAGGCGCGTACTGTATACACACACACACACACACACACACACACACACACACACACACACACACACACACACACACACACACACACACACACACACACACTCCAAGAAATCAGGAGTGAGAGGGAGAGTGTCTTCATCTCTCACTCTTCCTCCTCACCTCCTCCTCTTCCTCTTCTCTCCTCCTTCACACCCTTCCCCTCCCTCTCTCTCCTCGTCTGACCTCCCGCCATCTTTGTTTTTCTCTCTGCTGCCAAAATCTCTCTCCTTCTCACTCGCCCTTTTTACTTTTCCCTGCCGTGATAAGAAGTGTGAAGCAGCTGGGCGTCACACACACACGCACACGCACACACACACACACACACACACACACACACACACACACACACACACACACACACACACACACACGCTATTAGATGAGATTAGTTTGACTATATGGAACCCAATTTGGGAAATATATTTTCACGGCAGATCGTAAACAAGGCATTGGACATGAATTAAAAAGTAAAATAGAGTAGGAAAGAAACATATACATATCAACAGTTATAGATATGTATCTCTATCAAAAACACAATATAAAAATACAGATAAAGTTAGAACACACTATAATAGACCATCCCTATTAGAACATAATATAAGCAACAGAAACATGTATAATTCTACCACATAAGAAGTGTACTGACAGGAAACTGAACTCTGTTGTGAGAGTGTAGGTGAACCAGATTGGAAGTCTGCTGGTCACGGGCTTTGAGGACGGGGTTGTGAGGTTGCTGGAGTTGTACGACCCTCAGAGGCTGAACGTGGTCACCGGGCGAATCCCCAAAGGAGACGCCAAGCTGCGCCTCAAACAGGCCTTCAAGCCCCATAGAGCACCTGTAACTGCCGTGGCGTATGAGCGAAATGGAGAGATCTTAGCAACGGGGGTAAGATGTTTTCCAAGAACACCTGAGGAAATATAATTGGTCATTGTTTGCTTAAGGTCATTTATGCAGGAACAAAGAATGTTGTTAATAACCCTCTGACCCTAACCCTCTGCCCCCCACCCTGCGGCTCAGAGCTCCGACAGCACTGTGTTCTTCTTCACTGTCGGGGAAAAATACAAACCAATCGGCTTTGTGCACGTCCCCGGGCCGGTGCAGGCGCTGGAGTGGACGCCTCATTCCCACGTGAGTCTGCTCCGACACACATGCACCAAAATACAGTATCTATGGATACGTTATTGATTGAGCAAAATATTCTTATATTTATTTCCAAAAATAAATTGGCTTTGCAAAGTTTTTTTGTTGAAAACTTGAATCCAGATAGCTTCTTGATTGAGCTTGAAAAATATGTATATGTTATACAGGGTTCTTACGGTCATTAAAAACCTGGAAAAGTAATGGAAATTCAAAATGCTAATTCCAGGCCCTGGAAAAGTCATGGAAATTCAAAATGCTAATTCCAGGCCCTGGAAAAATGATGGAAAACAATATTTTTCCCAAAGTTTTGGACAAGTCATGGAAATGTAACTAAAGTTGCATCAAATATAATTTATATGTTATCTAATCGCCAAAATAGTAATACTATAATGATAATAAATACTGTATCGTCTAGTAATGAAACGTAAAATGGCATTTAACTGACGAGGTATTTTGCTGGTGAGAGATTTTAGTTGCTTTAGCGTGTAGAAGCTAGTAAGCCTATTTGATTTGTTTTAGATAGGCACAACATGTTTCATATGCAGACCTTATTTTCCTGTTCCATGTTAAAATAAACCATTTTCAGTGGTACCGCTGAGAAAGAGTCATTTTTTGGTCATGGAAAATTAGGTAAAGGTCATGGAAAAGTCATTGAAAATCATTGGTGAAAAAGTGTATGAACCCTGGTTATATTATTATTTGTATTTTATTTGACATTATATATCATATTATAATATATTTTATATATCTATTATCTACAGCTAAACATTTATACCTGGAGTATTTCCCCAACAGAATTATTTATTTATTATCTGTGGACCATTTTCATCCAGAGTGGCCTTAATCTTGTACAATATCTTTAATTGAACGATTCTGTAATGGGAATGATTGTTATTGTTGTTTTATGATTTTCCCCAGGGTGAAAACCGGCTGCTGATCCTGTGTCAGAGCGGTCACGTTGTTGAGGTGCACCCTCCTGACCCAGAGGTCCAGAGGCCCGGCATCACCTTCCACCTGCCTGAACTGAGCAGCAGAGCCTTCAGGTTCAGGAGCATCAAGTCTCGAATCAAGGTCTGGACCCTGTGTGTCCAATCAGTCATTCGTAGGGTTTATGTACATACAGACCTGTTGTCCTATCAGAATCAAAACCAGGGTTAGTTCAAGTTAGGTTTACACATACAAGACATGTGTTTAGTTGTATTAAATGTAAACAGTAAGAGGATATAAGTTGTAAAAAAAATAGCAAATATATAAAAATAATTAACATAAAAATTAAGAAAAACATTTTGTTTCAAGAAATAAATATACAAATAAAAAACAATATGACAGATGGTGACACATTTATAATCTGAATAAGGTTTATTACCAAGTAGGTTTACACATAAATGTAAAATAAATGTAATTGGGTTATAATGGTACATACATAAACACAATGGGACATACATAAGAGGTATTAGGTTGTAAAGAAAAGGAGAACATATAAAACTATTGTAAAAATATGACAAAATAAAACATGTACAGTATATAAAGTTGTGGGGGAAACTTCTGAAGCAATTGGAGTCAGGACTCAGAGAGACACAAGGAGAGCTGGAGCTTTGATGGCAAACACTGACGGTTTATTTGGAGCTTCGGCCGGAGAATTCACAAGACATGTCACGGGCCACGAGTTGACCACACGGTTGAGATGCCACAATCAATCCTGAAGACCCCTCCTGTAGCTCCAGGTTCTAACTAGTTCAGAGTGTAATAATCAACATTCTTCAATAGATAGACTAAACAGCTGAGGACACTGAATCACAGTTGTTGTCGCTTATGGCTCGGGGTCATCTACACCCCGAGAAGGATGTGTTCCAGGTGTCCCACAACAATAACTGTCTCTGACCGAGAGTTTCCCGGTCATAAACTGGCAACATCAACAAAATGCTAGGGCAGCCCCTCCTTATGGGAGATAACGGCTGCTCAAGGTTGGTCAGCTGCGTCAGAGGGCGAAGGAGGACATGCAGGGCGAATTATTCCCCAACAAAAGTATTTTCCCTTTCTTCATGTTGTGCTGTCTTCATGTAAATATGTGTAAAAAATAAGTAACTCCATGTTGGTTTCAGACAATGTGTGGTTTTAAATGTTGCATTTTCTTTTAGAGAGAGCAGGAAATTGCCAGACGACAAGCCGCAAAGGACGAGAAGCAGAAAGAGAGAGAAGAGAGGCTGAAAGAATCCAAGCAGCCAGACTTAGAACCAGAGGAAGATAAAGAGGAGGTGGAGGAAGAGCTGCCCTCCATCTTCATCCCTAAGCCTCCAAGTCCTCTCTACTGCGGCTTCTACTCATCGCCTGGCCACTTCTGGCTCTCCATGGTACACACAATTAAAAGAAACTGAAGATCAACATTACATTTAAAGGGGACCTGTGATGGAAAATGCACTTTTTGATGTCTTTTATACATAAACATGTGTCCCTGGTGTGTCAGGGAACTCACGCAGCGTCAGAAAATAAAACCCTCTCTCTTTTCCTCCGTACCCAAATCTCTAAAAACGGGGCTACAACGGAGCTGATCGAGATTTGCGTCCGATATGACGTAATATCGGAAATGTAGGCTGGCTTTACACCCACGGCACTATCAGAAACGTTGCTATCAATGCCCGACTGTTTTGGACGTAATATGGTCGGTGCATGTTTACATTAGCATCGCTAACACTTCGAGCTAACCTGTACTGCACAGAGCATGTGTGTGAAGAAGCAGGAAATAAAAAGGAACTCACCTTGTGGTATAACCGGCAAGAGAGAAAGCCTTTGAGCTCCATACTGTTTCAGAAATAATCCTTGATAATCCATGATATGGCGTTTCATCACCGCAGTATTTAGTTTAGACAGTAGCTGCCGGGTCCCGCATGAGCTCAGACCCCTCCTTTTTTTTAAAAGCTTTATACCCCAAATCAGCACTTTTGAAACAGGAAGTGAAATGGAGGGATATGAGGCATGGCTAGAATGGGTGATCTGTTTGGTATTTTGAGCAAAACACTTCATAGACATCTTTTTTATATATTTATATATATATCTGAGACCTATGCTATTGCCTAAAAATAGCATGATAGGTGACCTTTAAATAATGGGTTGAGAAATTAAAACATGTCCTGTAGACTCAACACAGACTCTAGCTGTGTTTTGGTACAAATACCAAACTACATATAGTAAAACACAGCTATAGATTGAAAAGTATTATCAAAAACAGGTTCACAACATTCTCTCTTCTCCCTCTCCTGCAGGGGGGCTATGACTCTGGTTTCCTGTATCACTGTCAGTTCTCTGAGGAGCAGGACCAGGACCCTCTGCAGCGGCAGGACGAGCCCTTTGACTTCCTGCCTGTCCTCAACGCAGACGACGACCCCATTCGCTCCTTCACCTTCAGGTATACTGAAGATCCACTGATCAATATTCTATATTTCGACAATGATTCAAAGAACTAAATGCATCGTGAGAAAGTTGCTAGTAGTTTCCACCTCTTTTGGCTCATAGCTTTATTTATTTTTGCCTGGTTCAGTCCCTTATCACAGCTATTATCAGCAGCTAACAACCGCTACGCTCCAAAAATGTGGAACAACCTACCAGGAAATATCAGAGGTTAACTCAGTCGACATTTTTAAACAAAAGCTGAAAACATATTTTTTTAATTAGCTTTTAAATAGCAACTTTGCTCTTCTGTTGGTGTTATTTCTTTCTTTAATTCATTGAATTTATTTATTTAGTCTTATTTCTTAAGTTCTTAAGTATGGATTACTTTATTGTATTTATCTATTTTGGCTTCTTGTAATCCATGGAGTCATATGTATCATGAACATATGCTTCATGTATACTAGTAGCTTTTAACCTTTGACTTGAATTTAAAGTCTTATTGTCTGTTTGTCTAATGTTGTTTGCCAAATTGTTAAAGCACTTTGAGCTGCCTCCTGTGTATATAAAATGCTACTACAAATAAAGATGTATTTGTAATTATTACTAGTATACCTAAAGTATTATGTTGGTGTTGTCCAGCTCTGACAGGCAGCTGCTGCTCTGCGGCATGCACTCAGGCTCCATCAGGGTCTACCCTCTGCAGCCCGGAGACCACAGCCTCAGCTCCATGCAGGCCTACTGGGCTCTCAGTGTCCACGACAACCAGTACGGACACCTGCGGCACATCCGCTGTAGCTATGACGACCTCTTGGTGCTGACAGCGGGAGACGACGGGAACTTCTTCTCCTTCAGCCTGCTCCCTCCAGAGGAGCTGAAGAAAAGCATGCAGAGGAAGAAGGCAAATGTTCCTTCACCCAGGGTCAGTCTACACGTTATTAACACTTTACTAAGACTTTATATAGTGTGCTTCTACAGATGATAAAGTCTAACCCTAACCCTAACCCTACTCAATCAATCAATTACATTTTATTTAAATAGCCCAATATCCCACATTTTACATTTGTCTCGGGGGCTTTACGGTGTGTACAGCAAATGACACCCTATGTCCTTAGACCCTAGTGCACAAAGAAAAAACTCCCCAGAAAAACCCCACAGCGAATAGAAAATAATTTGTAGAAACACCCAGAACGGGACAGCAATAGATATGGTTTGAATAGACAACATAGACAATATAGACAATCCAAAAGGACAAAAATGGTAATATGAGTATACAAAAAAAATGGTCGGATCCAGGAGGGATGTCAAGAATCGTCCAGACACCACTATAAAATAATAAGGTAGGCTTCAGGCAGGACCAGAGCAACAGCCACGACTCTTGGTCCAGAGGTGAAGAGAGGACATGAGTGCATAAGAGATAACGAGAGAGAAGTAGGAGAAGAGAGGTGGAAGTCCCACGACAGTGTACACCTATAGCAGCATAGGGTCTGGTTAAAGGTAAGCCTGATCCAGCCCTAACTATAAGCCTTATCAAAGAGGAAATGTGTCAGTCTGTCCACCAATTTGAATGGATTGCTATGAAATGTATGTTTCTTATTTGTGTGAACGCCCAGGGTCCTTGTGTTCCCTAGCTTGTGTCAAACATTTGGAAAAGTTGACTTTACACCTTTTAAAGTTGTCTGTAGATGTCATCACATAGTTCATATTTGTTGTAAGGGGCAAGAAAACAAACTGTTTATGGTGCAAATGGATTGTTATATAAAAAAGTATAATGTCTTGATATTCGAACAGGTGGGCCTTGAGAATGAGGCGTTAGCCCAGGATATTGAGGACCCAGCAGCCTGCAGGTGAGCGCAAATGATCTGTTGATCATTCTTGTTTTCAATGTATCTGTATCTTTCTCTGTTTTGAAAAGTCATTCGGACAGTTGACACCGACTGCATTTGGCTTCCTTATTGTTTTTACATTATTGGGGGATTAAGGGGCTTTAACTCAAGAATGTCATGAAATTACTCATCTAACTTTGTGTTCCCTCCAGCATAGAGTCAGAGAAGCAGAAGCTGGATAAGGACCGTCTGCGACGAGAGGCGGAGCTTAAGATCGCAGCGAAGCGAAAGAAGCTGGCTGAGCTGAATAAGAAGTTTCAACAGCTGCTGATCACCAACCAGAGTCTGCCGGAGCATGTCCGTCTGAAACCTGAGGTACGCACACCCGGATCACTGTCATCTGTTTTCTAATGTCCGACAAACTGAGTTCTTCAGAATATGTACCTATTTAAAGACAAATAAGTCAATAAGAAAACCAAAAGACATGATACTAGGGAAAAAAACAAGCTAGGTAAAACATTTAGGGTGTGCGACAAAATGTCCTATTATGGTTTTTGGATTTTTCCCTTTCCCTGTTGTGTGTTATATAGGTTTTTGTGCATGTAACTGGTCTGCAAAGGCTAAAATCCCTGTGTTCCCTCCAGAAGGAGTTTCTCTCCCCCTAACCCTGCCTGAAAGTCCTCTGTGGTAGGATTGTCGTCTTGCTTAGCATATCACAATTCAGAATAGGTAGAGACCAATGGCTTAGTATGGAGAGGAACATGACGGGTAAGCCTTAGCTTCAAATCCCTATTATTAAGAATGATCCCAAGCAGAGGTGGGCTAAATGCAAAGGAAGTCACGGTGTGCTGTCGGATAAGCAGCAAGCGGTACACAACATGGTGTGACAGGAACTGTACGCTCAGTTGGAAGCTGTCTAAACAAGAAGCAGAAACATGATGTAATGTAGACACTGCAGTGGTGGCTGTATCTCATGTGATAGAGATACTGACATGTAAATATCACAGAATATTTTGGAAAGGGACAAACAACTGTAATAACAAATAATATATGGGATCAGCCAGGTGTTTTAACTCTTCAAGGAAAGGACTGAGGCCTTTGCTGTTGTTGTTACTCTGTGCAGCTTTTCACTGACACACATTTTGAGGTTTTGCAGTTTAGGGGAAATGGGGCCACACTCTGTTGACATGCATTGCAGAGACCTCCTACACTCAGCAGCAGATAAGCACTCGAACAAAATGTATTATTTAATGTCCAGATTTTCCTTTATTTTTAATACACAAAACCAACTGTATTTGAACATACCACAGGGATTTAACTATATATTAATACCAATATATCATTAGCAGTGGTCGAGTGGACACAGACTCCTTATATTCTGGTCAGGTTTATAGTTATGTTAAAATGATGACTTTTAGGCAGCTGAAGCGAAGCCGAGACGGTTGTTGGTGCGGTCGTAGATGGAGTAGTACTCTCTGAGGAACACGTCCCCAAAGATCCACAGGGGCTGGCCGTTATGAGAGGGCAGGTATGTGGGGGCGATGTCCACAGAGCAGAACTGGTTTCCATTCTGGTAGTGCTGTAAGCGGAGACAGGAGATGGGAAAGGTAAATGACATTGCTAACACACAAAATAAAAAATACACAAATACATGCTTATTGAGTGCATGCATGTAGTAACTTACCTGACTGATGTAAGCAGAAGGAGGCAGAGGGAGGGCAACACCGCTAATAACAAAGCTGAGAGTTGGCAGGTTGTTGAGCTCGCTGCAGTCCACCATGTACTGAAGATCAAGACAAAAAAAGAGATATTAGAATTGCTTTTAGAAATTCCAAGGGTATCACACAAGAGATCTGATCTGATCCCCGTGGATCTTAGAACAGCAAACACCCGTGAAATGAAAATCTTTTTTAAATGGCTTTTAATTTGGGTTAACTTTCAATTCTCACTGGTATCATTGTCCATGTTTTACTGTATTTTTTCTGTTTTGCTTTTATTTTTTTTAATTTTCTTTGTTAAATTATTTTATTTAAACATATTTTAATTTCTTGTCAGCTTTAATTCACGGGAATTTCATTAGGATCACTGTAGATGTTATATCTTGTTCTGTATTTATTTTAATATTGTTGTTGTGTTTTCTGTAAAGCACTTAAAGGCTGCTTTGTGCATGAAAGGTGCTATACAAATAAAGTTTATTATTATATTATTATTAGAAGAGACAGAAACTAAAACAAACCGGCCCAATTTATACATGCTTATTTTCCTACTTCTTCAATATGAGAGTGTCTGTCTGTCTGTTCATTTGTCTTACCATTCCATTCTGGCTACGTTGAGCGCCGATGGCCTGCATGATGTCACCAATGAAGTGGCTTGGGGCTGTCAGTGTGGAGGTTCCAGTGTCCACAATGGACTGGCAGCCCTGAGAGCACCAGCCGGTCTCTCTACCATTGATCTCGAATCTGCAAAGCACAACAAAAGTTAAAAAAATGTTGCAGTTATTTCGGAACGCACAATAAGCACTGAAGTAATGTAAGTAATCGGAAGATGGGAAGATCATTGGATGTTTAACATTATTAATGAATGATGAAAAGCACTGACCCTTGAACTCCGATCTGCCAGTAGGTCTCAGAGGTAACGGGGGTCCAGTAGATCTGTCCCCGGTACAGGCTGGTGTCCACTCCTCCGAAAGAGAGCACGCTGCCCTGCTGTCCTCCCCTGAATCACACAACCAAAACTTATCTGAAAGCTCACAATGTGGATATACAGTAATATCTGATATCCTCTATGATGTGATAGTGTATGTTTTACAGTGCTTAATAGAAGTCTTGTGACAGTTATACCTGGAGAGATAGAAAGAAAATATGTTGGCACTCAGCAGGTTTTGAGAAATCATGTTGTCCACGACGGGAGTCTCTCCTCCAGCGGAGATGCTTGGGTAGGACAGGCCGAGGATGCCGTCAAACTTGGCAACCACAAAGTTCTGACCAGGTTCATTTGTGCTCAGACCGATCTCCTGGTGGTTGATCACAATGCCACCAACCTATGGTTCCAAAAAACAACCACTGCGATGAGTAGGATGTCAATTCATAGATTGTATTTATACATGTTCAAGCTACAGCCTATATGACTGTAGACAGCAATGTTAAAACAAATAGGGTAGGCCTCTGTTGTTTCTCATCAAAAATATTTTTCTAGTGTATATACAAATGTATATATTTTCACTAATACACATACTTACTACACACTCAAAACTGAAAACTGCCACACATATCTTCCTACTGAAACTTTCCAATGCAACATCTTTGACTGGTATGTTCTTACTGTGAGACATCACTCTTTGAGGTGTTATTGACATAGTATGCTTTCTGGTAGTACTCTTTCTCAGTCACTAAGAACTAGTCATGTAGTTGTTTGTTTGGTTGGTCTGACTCACATTGACAGTGTCATATCCAAAGGTACCATAGAGGCTTCCGGCTCCGTAGGGCAGGAAGAAGGTTTTTCCATTGGCAGAGTAGGTAGAGGACTCCCGGGGGTTGAACTTTGTGTGTGCGTCTGTGAATGACATAGTTTATCTCTGGAGGCATGTCAACAAACATGCTATCATGCCTCACAGAGTCTTTTGACACTAATAGGTCTATTATGAAGTTGCTGATGGTTCCTTAAAGACTGAAAATGATAAGTGACAAGCCTGCAAGTACACTAAAACTCTAAATCTCATGATGTTAAATAATGTAATCTCATGGAAACACGATGACTTGCTCTGCACGCTTGGCCTATGTGAGCTTTATGTCTACATGCAAAATCAGTTTTGTGACAGATGAGGGATTTAGTCATGTAAAGCCTGATGGTTTATACTCACTGCAGGCCCGAGTGCTACAGTAGATGGAGTCCACCCACAGGTTGGCAGAGCCGGTGTCAAAGAGCACTTGGAAGGACTGGGGGGGTGTTCCAATACTGATGGCGCCATAGTAGGTGGTCTGGGTATTGCATTGGTTGGAGGTAAAGAAAGAGAGGAATATAATCAAATAAAATGCAAACCCATCAGTCAGGGCTGTGTGTAAAATCGCGTTAAGCTAGGATTTCTTACGTCAGCGTAGTTATTGATGTACATGTTGGCAGAGCTGGAAAACTCATCAGGCTGGTACTTGAGAGCCGGATCATGGTAAGACAGCTCGATCCCCTTCTCTCTCAGGGCCTCACGCATAGACTTGTGCTTAGTCAGAGGGATCCTGAGGAAGAAGGAAGCATAAACATGAAGAAGTTTAACCTGATATGACTAAAAATTGTTTCTTTTACGAAACAGGCCCATGATATAGAAATACAGAGATGATTTCCTTACCTGACGATTCCCTCCACAAGCGCCACACAGACTAAAACAGCAACAAGACACTTCATGATGGATACAATACAATACTGAGTCTTAACAGGCCTTATATACACATGTTTAGGCCCCTATCAGCTAGACTGTTATCAAAACTTCAGTCATATACGACTCAGACAGGGTGACCCTTACAGGTATTTTCTAAAAGCTACACACTTCATTTGCACAACATTAATTCAATAAACACTATCTCCAATGAAAGCCACGCTCCACAATCAGAGCCAAATAAACCTCATGTTAATCAAGGACATAATAAGATGTCATCCATTTGGGTATATCCATTGGAATAATGTAGTGGTGACATTAACTCATCAGAGTTTTTGAATTTGACACTTTTCATAGAGTAATTACTTAACTTGTATTTAATGTAATGAAGAGGTATGATAAATGTGTCTATTTCCTGTCTTTCAAGAAGATGATGCTGAGTACTTAGCGCTTACGCTGAGTTATTTATACCTTTTTGCAGAATTAAAACAAATCTGTCTATAAAATATAAATATCAACAGCAAGGTCAAGTTTAATAGTTTGTTTCGAACGGTAACTTTCCGCAAATGAAAAATGAATGTTATATCAGGATTTCACTATCAGTAGCACCTTAACCACACAGTTTAATCAAAAGCTCGTGTCGTTATCAAAACTTTTAACAGTGTTTGGATTTGATAGCTTTTATTCCTCGAAAAGCCCAAGGACATTCAATGAAAAATACAACTTATTTATGAATGTTAATTGATTTTATTCTTTGTGCTTTGACTGGACTATAGTAATAATAACATCTCCCCTAAGATTGGCTTTTACTTATCCTGTATTTGCTGCCAATAGCACCTTGTTTTATATCAAAGCAGACCAGTAGCATGGGGGAACTCTGATTACAGTGCCTTTTAATGACCCCATTTGTTATGCAATTAGATTACATCAGCGCATTCTCATTTTCTCCATGGGACAAATGACATTGTGCACACAGGACCCTATGTGGTGGTGTGATGTAAGCTTGCATCCATACGTAATAGGTGGAGTGCCCCTTTCCTATTGGGAAAGCTGCAATGCTATAGAGGCGGCCAGCTAACCAATCAGAGCAGACTGGGCTCTGGTTCCAGACAGAGGGTGAAAGAGTATGTTTCAGTGGTGGACACATACTTTTTCAGACTTCGAGAGGTCACCTTATGTCAGTTTGATGGAAAGGAATCACAAGTAGGCCTCCCCTACATGGGCACGTCTCAGCAATCTATCTGGGGAAAACTGGTTTCCATAATCCACCATCCAAGTGTGGAAAACATGTTGACTTTTAAGAAAGCATGTTACTGGAACCTAGAAAACATCTTTACCTTTCAATGGGGGATTAATATCTGTTTCACACAAAGTCAACCATTAAAGTATAGGGTAAAGAACGTTGTATTTAGGGTAGGGTTTGGCATAATATCATTAAGATTTGGATAATTCTCCAGGGAATTCATGTACTTCAAGTCATTGTGTGTGTGTGTGTGTGTGTGTGTGTGTGTGTGTGTGTGTGTGTGTGTGTGTGTGTGTGTGTGTGTGTGTGTGTGTGTGTGTGTGTGTGTGTGTGTGTGTGTGGTGTGTGTGTGTGTGTGTGTGTGTGTGTGTGTGTGGTGTGTGTGTGTGTGTGTGTGTGTGTGTGTGTGTGTGTGTGTGTGTGTGTGTGTGTGTGTGTGTGTGTGTGTGTGTGTGTGTGTGTGTGTGTGTGTGTGTGTGTGTGTGTGTGTGTGTGTGTGTGTGTGTGTGTGTGTGTGTGTGTGTGTGTGTGTGTGTGTGTGTGTGTGTGTGTGTGTGTGTGTGTGTGTGTGTGTGTGTGTGTGTGTGTGTGTGTGTGTGTAGGAGCTGCAGTTGCACCCATGTTTCAGTGAGCAGGCAGAGAGGGAGAAGGCCCAGCAAGTGAGGCTGGTGAGGGAGCAGGTGGCCTGGGAGGAGGAGCGCTGCAGCATAGCACTCAGAAAAATGCAGGACTGGTACTGGCTGAACACACACACACACACACACACACACACACACACACACAACTACCAAATATTTTTACCGGACTGGCATCCTAAGACGTTTTTATAACATGTCCATTCTGCCTCTGTAGGTAGTTAGGAGGTAAAGACATCCAGCCTCCAGAATAAAACCCACCTCTCATGTTTGTTGTCAGGTTCAAAGACTCTCTTTCCAAAGTGGTTACTGTGGTCGCCATCTGCAGCGACCACAGAATCTCCACCTACAGCCTGCCCACGCTCCCGGAGCATTCAGCGCAGCTCAGACATCAGACGAGGCCCGGCTGGCCTGAGGGAGACGGGGCTGCTGCAGCAGAACATGGAAGACCCAGAGTGGAGCCTGCTAAAGACAGCAGCATACTGGAAGGTAGGTGTGATGGAAACTTCTGAAGCAATGGAGACGAGACTCAGAGAGACACGGAGAGAGCTGGAACTTGATGGCAAACATTTACGGTTTATTTGGAGCTACGGCCGGAGACATGTGCTGCAGCCACGAGGTGACACAGCACTTGCCAAACCAATTCTGAAGATGTCTACCCCAGACCCATGCATTTAGCTAGTTCTGAGAGATTAATCAACATTGTGCATAACAAGATAAAACAGGTAAAGCACTATAACACCTATATCAGCTGAAGCCATCGGGCCGGAATAGGAAGACAAAACACTGAGAGCATAGCACAGGCAGTACAAACTGATAAACTGGGTCAACGGTATGGGCCTAGGAAAATATTTCCCCAACAGTAGGAAGCTGCAGTCAAACAGCTAAATAAATCTACTCCTATGTCTTTTCTGAACCACTTTTCCTTAACCTCAGTAAAAAACGTCATGGGGTTAAGGAAATATGTGAAGGAGAATTCATCAGGACTTTAAAATAGACCACCAGAGTGCTAAGAGAATCTAAATGCACTTACAATGGGCAAATTGTCAGCGGATTGATTGAAAATGTTCCTAAAAAGACATCTAGATACTTCGCCCCATGTGTCCTTATCGTGTTGTTTCTTGCGGGTTTTATAAGTGTTGATGACATTGAAAAAGATATAACATTACCAAGGTTAGAATTGTAATTAAAAATGGAAAGGAAATGGTTGCCCCCGCTCTTAAAAATAATAATAAAAGCATTATTTATGGGGTCTACTGCTGTGCTGTGCATATCATTAATGAAGCATTGAAGCTCCTTTCCTGAGAATTTCAAATATTTCCTAAAATGGGATCAATACAAGTTTATATAATCTAGTTTAATCAAAAGAGAATTTTGACAGCTCTCTTATAATGTCTGCCACTTGGTTACTCCTGGGTCCTTCAGAGGAGGATCTGCCCCCCCCGGTGGCCGGTTCGGAAGGGGTGAAGCTGGGAGACCGGCAGGTGGAGAGGCTCCGTAAGGCTGCAGAGAAAGCTGAACAAGCTCGAGCCAAGATAGAGAAGAGGAAGCAGGAATGGGCCCAACTGTGAGTGTCTAACATCATTTTAGTTAGATTTATAAATGGCATTCGCTATTTTTTCTTTATAGTTATTGTGTTGCCTTTGATGGCTTTTGTAGCTAAAAAAAAAAGCCCAGGGAAAGAAGGTAATATTCAGAGTAAAAAACTTCACAGATTGAAGTTTATAGAATAAGCGAAATTGTATGATATTAGATCACACATTCATAGGAAAGAAACTTCATAATCATCACCATACAGACGTTGTTGGTGATAGGGAATGCCAAAGAACACGTTTTTCTCACAAATGTATGAGTTGGATCTTAGAAACTTGAGTAAAACCCCCCTCTCCTAGTGCGGTAACAGTCCTTATTCATATGTTTTAAAAACATGGCATGTGGGGCAAAACACGATTGGTGGATCTCTAGTGTAACTATTGTGATGCTAGTACAAAACTGTGACAGCCTTTTGGTGTCTCAGTTACGCAGAGAAGCCGAGCGAGAACTGCGAGGATCCGCAGGATGTGCAGGCCATCGTCGAAGCCAAAGAGAACCTCGGAGACTTAAAACTGAAGTCAGACAAAGACTTCACGATGCCCAAACACCTGAGGATGAACGCTGAGAGGAAGAGCACAGAGCTGATAGGCCTGGAGGAAAAAGTAGACACACACACACACACACACACACACACACACACACACACACACACCCATACCATGTATGCATCACTTCAGGGGACATTACATTGACTTACATGCATTTCCTGGATACTTATCCTAACCTTAACCATAACCAACACATGCCTTACCCTAACCCTTACCCTTACCCTTACCCTTACCCTTACCCTTACCCTTACCCTTACCCTAAACCTAACCAAGTCTTCACCCTAAAATTAATGATTCCCCTTATGGGGACCTCCCTTATGTCCCCATAAGGGAGGCGAGTCCCCACATGTGACTGTGTAAACATATTTAGGTCCCCACAAGGATAGTAATGCTAGGTCACACACACACACACACACACACACACACACACACACACACACACACACACACACACAGCACTAGGACACACTTCATCATCATCAGCCATTGTCTTTTTATTGCACATTCTTCCTTTTACTTCTTATGTTTCAATACATATTTTCATTCTATTTTACTTGATCTTTTATTGGACATTTTACTTCAACTTATTACATCTTTATGAATATTTGTAGTTGTATCTTTCTATTGGACATTTTTTACCATATGCAATTTTCACGATGACTTTGTCTGTTAATACGAATTGTAAATAGACTAATATAAATAAGCGAAGGATTGATCTATGATGGACAGATCCTTCAGTTGCATTCAAAGCAGATCCAGTTAGTGAGTCCATCCGTCCCCACAGATCCGTGAGAAGCAGACGGAGATGAATCAACGGATCGTGGCGCTGCGGGACTCCAAGGTCCGCCTGGTGTCTCAGCTGCGCTCTCAGACTCAGCAGGTCCTGACTGTGCAGCTGCGTCTGCCGGCCCATCTCCACCACCCTCCACCCACCCTGCCTGCCATACTACCAGAGGAGACCCCCGAGAAGAGGCTGCAGTTCAACCGTGCAACCCTAGTGCGCTACCGTCGTCTGAGGGATCAGAGGTACAGCAGCCCGTTTGATCCAGGTTCAAATCGAAATTACAAAGTAGCAAAACATTTATTGTACACTATTATACTTAGCTGGTTTAAAGGTCTATCTTTAGATGACATGTATCTGTTGTATGACTGTGTATATCAAATGTTTAAACCTGAAACCATTGCTAAGATAATAGAGCATTAGCTCCTGAATGCTTTTGTATAGCACCTTTCATACAATAAGTGCAGTTCAAAGTGCTTCACATAGACATTTCACAGAAAATTGATATCACACAGATACCAGTAAAAGACATAAAAACAAACTATACAAAAAAGACATATAAAAATACATTTAGATTAAAGGTACAACGATGAAATTGTTCATTAAAAGGAGGATAGTACAAATTAATAGTTTAAAAATATTTAAACAGGGTGCAGAGCATGGAGCAGGACGAGCAGGAGGACAGCACCTATATATTGGCGCAGCTGGAGAAGGAGGTGGAAAGAGAGGAAGGGACTCTGAGTCACTCAGCTTCATCTGTAACCAGAGAAGAAGAAGAGGAAGGAGCAGAGCTGAGCGAGCTGGAGGAGGAGCTCCGGAGGGAGGAGGAGATCAAACTGCTGCACGAGCAGGACTCTCTGCTGGAGCAGGTCTGCTTTGGAGTCTATTATAGAATCTGAAATATGAACGTGAAAATAAGCATTATTTGTGCTCTTTAAGGCGATTGTTTTATATATTACACGTTTTCTGGTATGCAGTGTTTGAATATGCAAGCGAGGCATTACGTAATATTTACCCATGGTGAATTTAGAGGAACTCTTCATACTGAACAGAAAAATTCAAGACAAAAAAAAAATGTAATGTGAATATGGAGGTTTTCTTTTCACTTGCAAAATCTCAAAATATATTGGTGCATTAAGAAGAAAAATTGTTTTAGACAGGGGTGTCTAGCCCTAAATGTGTAACCACAAACAAAATCTTCTAGAATAAGAATGTTAGGTACCACTTTGCAATAAGACTACCCTTATAAAGGGTTTACAAATAGTTTGTAAGTCATTTATTAATTAGGTTGTGAACACTTTATACATCATTAATAAGCTTTTATAAGACATGAGATAAACAGGGCAACTGTGACCGGTTGCTTGCCAAATAGTGAGCCCACATTTATCTGAACTGCTAAGCCTTATTAGAAATGGTATAACTCATTAATAAATGGGAATGTGTTTAACACTTTACAATAAGGCTCCCTTTTGGCAACTATAAATGTTAGTAACTCGTAAATAAATGGTCATAAAGAGATGCCAAGAAACATCAAGATGGAAGGGGGGGGGAATCAACTCAGTGAACAACAGATACCAAGGATGTTGGCTGATGAAGAAGGCGAAGTAAGCTAGGTAGCCAATATAAGGCTTAGTCATCTTGCCAAATAGTGAGCCTGTGTTGATGTATGAGAACTATGTTAGAACTGGTTTATAAATGGTTCTTAATGATTAATAAAGTGTTTACAACCTAATTAATAACCTAATTATAAACCCTTTATGAATCCTTTATAAGGGTAGTCTTATTGTAAAGTGGTACCGAAGTTACAGACAATGTTTAAGAATATGACATTTTGCGGATGTCTTTCACCTCGTCAGATGGAGAGTTCGGTGTGGCAGTTTGACGCCGAGCTCGTGCTGCTGCGCCACCAGAAGCTGCTTCTGGATTGGCAGCTGAAGCTGGCCGACCTCCGTGAGCTGACGCTCTACCAGGAGCTGCTGCTCCTCAAGGAGTTTGAGAGGAGGGAGGACAGCATGCAGGAGAACCTCAGCGCACGCACGAAGGAGGAGATCAGCATCACGGTGGGAAACAGTTTAAATCATGTGGAGTATCTTCTCATGTGTAGCCCTTCAGCTATCTGTTTAGAGTGAACTATGTAATATAGTTGACCTATCTCTAAAATATACTATCATTTTTTACCATGCTTTAAGGAGTCCTCTCCTGCCGATGTCCAGGTGTATATCAGTGTGTAGTGTCTCTACTTTAAAGAGTCCTCTCCTGCTGATGCCCAGGTGTATATTAGTATGTAGTGTCTCTACTTTAAAGAGTCCTCTCCTGCCGATGTCCAGGTGTATATCAGTGTGTAGTGTCTCTACTTTAAAGAGTCCTCTCCTGCTGATGCCCAGTTGTATATCAGTGTGTAGTGTCTCTACTTTAAAGAGTCCTCTCCTGCCGATGTCCAGGTGTATATCAGTGTGTAGTGTCTCTACTTTAAAGAGTCCTCTCCTGCTGATGCCCAGGTGTATATCAGTGTGTAGTGTCTCTACTTTAAAGAGTCCTCTCCTGCTGATGTTCAGGTGTATATCAGTATGTAGTGTCTCTACTTTAAAGAGTCCTCTCCTGCTGATGTTCAGGTGTATATCCGTATGTAGTGTCTCTACTTTAAAGAGTCCTCTCCTGCTGATGTTCAGGTGTATATCAGTATGTAGTGTCTCTACTTTAAAGAGTCCTCTCCTGCTGATGTTCAGGTGTATATCAGTATGTAGTGTCTCTACTTTAAAGAGTCCTCTCCTGCTGATGTCCAGGTGTATATCAGTGTGTAGTGTCTCTACTTTAAAGAGTCCTCTCCTGCTGATGTTCAGGTGTATATCAGTATGTAGTGTCTCTACTTTAAAGAGTCCTCTCCTGCCGATGTTCAGGTGTATATCAGTATGTAGATTGGTTAGCTGGCCAGCTCTGTTGTGATTGGTCAACGGCTTTGAATCATAGGCTCCTTTTTAATAGATCCTCATCTGGTGTGTACCTCTCTCCTCAGTCTAAGCTGAAGGAGTATAATGAGCAGCTGGAAGTGAAGCGAGCTGACATAGTCAAGCTGCAGGAGAGAGAGAAAGCTCTGCACGCCGCCTTCCACGCATCGCTGGGCGAAGAGAACAAGTTTGAGGAGTTTCTGACCAAAGTCTTCAAGAAGAAGATCAAACGAGTTAAGAAAAAGGAACCGACAGGGAATGAAGGTGATAGGAAGAAACACAAGCGTACAATGTAACAAGTGTGATGGTTTGTGTGTAAATATGTGTCTGTTATGATCTGAATTTGCATTTACGGAAGAAGAGGAGAATGAGGAAGACTCTGATGATGACTCTGACTGGGATGATGATGACGATGATTTTGACAGCGGCTCAGATGAAGAAGGAGCTGCTCTGGACGATGTTTGCCCTCCAGGTCAGTGTGGTGATGGTTAAAAATGTCTAACCTAGAAAGGTCTGTCAAATAGATAATAATCATAAATGATGAACTCCAGCATAAATATAGGATAAATATCTAGCTTGCTACCATGATAGCGAGCTAGATCATTGAATGTGAGTGTTTCCTATAGTTAAAAGTTATAGTTACGCTAATTTCAGGCTTATTATACCCAAACCAAATAACACAGTACATGTTATATTAGGCCATACGTCTGAATAGGGATGCATATCGTTGACTTTTTTACGATACCGATACCGATACCGATACCACTGAACGATACCGATACCACTGAACGATACCGATACTCAACCGATACATATCGTGATACTTTCATGTTGCATAAGGGAAACATTTTATCATCCCGCAATTACTCCCATGAAGCGCTTTATTATATAGTTAACATGTCAAATGAATATTAAATTCAATTGTGGGACTTGGACCTTTTAGTACTGAACAAACAATGAAAAACACGTTATCTATGAAGAAAACTGATTCTGCAATATCATTTATAACAACCATCAGGCGGGAATAGTCCATCTTGTCAATGGAAAAATAAAATAGCACCAGTATAATCAATATTCAACCTGAGATTCGACTGACCAGAGAACACATAAAGGATCATGAGATCTCGGCATTGCACATAAAACAAATAGCATCCTTAAAATCAACATTTGCCTGATGAAAGAAAACTAATCCCATCACAGTTCAGTTTTGTGCATTCATCTTCAAGAAGATGAGCATATCTGCTCTCTCTGGATCCAAACAGGCCCTTTCACAGTGTAGGATATCACCTGCTAAACTGAACACTCTCTCGCTTGGCACGCTGCTTCCCTGAACACAAAGGTACTTGGTTGCCATACGAGACAGCATTGGTTGGAGATTGGATGTGTTGCCACCTTTCCCAGAAATAAACTTCTTGCAGTGGTTACAGACCCCACCATTCAGACTGGCAGTGGTTACAGACCCCACCATTCAGACTGGCAGTGGTTACAGACCCCACCATTCAGACTGGCAGTGGTTACAGACCCCACCATTCAGACTGGCAGTGGTTACAGACCCCACCATTCAGACTGGCAGTCATATGCAGCCACACTTTAGATTTTCAAAAGTGACTTGGTTGCGGAGTTTCACTGCGAAATTGACATCGTAATTCCGACGGTTTGGGCACAAGTTTAAGGATATTATGCCTCACTTTTATGAAATAAAAAAAAAAATAAAAAAAGTATCGAAAACCGGATCTGATTTCGGTACGGTATACCGTAGCCACCAGTAACCGGTATTTCGGTAATACCGGGAACCGGTATGCACCCCTACGTCTGAACCCTATCTACGTCCTACCCTAGCTGAATAGACAGAGTGGATATGAGGCGGTGCTTCAGTGTGATTCAAGTTTAATTTGAGCTTAACTATAAGTAAGAATCTGTGTGTGTGTCTCAGGCTGTGTGCCGGCGCTGTTTGGGAACACTCTGCAGCTGCGTGAGCGTCGGATGGACCTCGAGGAGCTGCTGGTGGAGGAGAAGAAAAGTGCTGAGATTCTGAGAAAGGAGTGCATCATGCTCGTCAAGAAGGTCAAACTATTTTCTCTGTCTTTCTGTCTCATCTCACATGTTCCCTTATCACCATGTGCTCTCATACCCTGCTGTGTGTTGTTAGAGATCAGGAAGTATAAGGTTGGGCCACAATATGAACATGGATCTCCTCACCAACAGTTTTAATCTGTAATAGTGTCACATTGTGTTTGTCTCTGCAGGAGAAATCGGTGAAGAGCAGTCAGAAGGCAGCAGAGGACGACTTGGAGTTAGTCAACAGGGAGAAACAGCAGAAAATAAACGAGCTGGATGTGGTGGTTCCTCTCAGACTGCACCAGGTACACACAACAACAGAGTGAAGATAACACAGGTTCTAGTCATCAGACTTGAAAGCACATTTTAAATCCATTTTACAATCTAAGGCCGCAACAGTTTATATTCATAACTGATATATATATTGGTTATTTTCTTCATTAAAAGATTAATAGTTTGGACCAAAAAAAGTAAAAGATGCCAATTGGTTAGAAATTAGTCACATGATTAATTGATACTATAAATACTATGAAAATGAAAGTTCTATTTTAAATCCTCAGATATGCACATTTCATACGTGAAAATTAAAATTAGATATTTGTTTTGATATGAGTTGCTAACAAACAGAAGTGCAATTCATTTTTCATGTTCAATATTTTTTTTATTTTAAAGGGGACCTATCATGCAAAATGCACTTTTGTACGTCTTTTATACATGAATATGTGTCCCCGGTGTTCCAGGGAACTCACCAAGTGTCAGAAAACACAACCCTCTCTATTTTCCTCCATACCCAAATCTCTAAAAAAGGGGCTGCAACGGATCTGATAAAAACTGATCCAGATTTGAACACTGTCCTGACGTCAGGACGGTGGCGCTACGGCTATTGGGCCAACTCCACCAATCAGGAGGAGACAGCCACGGCCATTGCCGTTCGAAAGCGCTGGAGACGCTGTAGTACATATGCCAGGCCAGTAGATGGTGCTGTTCTCACTGAATCTGCCCTTGCAAAAACAGAGCTAAAACAGTGCAAATTGAGCGAAATGAGGCATGGCTAAAATGCATGATCTGTTTGGTATTTTGCAAAAAAAAAGTATAAATATGCCTTATATAGGTATGCCCCTACACTATATTATTCAAATATAGCATGATAGGTCCACTTTAAGTCATAAGTGATACAAAACAAAGACCCACACCGAAAATATACAGAAAAATACAGAAAAAACACAAACATTTACACAAAAACATAAATAATAAATAAAAACGTTTTTCATCAACTGACTGAAAATTGACAAACCTGGACTTTCATGCTAAAACTCTGCCTGTGTCTTTTGATAGGCCCTTTTTTGAAACACGGGTTTAAAGTTGATCTGTTAGTTGGGAATTTTGACTTCCTTACAATTTCTCATCTCCTGCATGTCCTCCTCTCTTCCTTCCACCTTCTCCAACCCTGCACCAGATTATGTTTGTTGTTAACGGCTCAGTGCCGTCGGACCAGAGCCCGGCGTTGGTGCTGGACATGACGGAGCTGACCCGTCTGCAGGATCGCATCAAGCAGCTGCAGGAGGAGAAGAGCCAGCAGAAGGATCTGTACATCGATGCACGCAAGCAGTACGTCGGGCTCACCCATGACCGCAAGGACATGAAAGTCAAAATCGAGGGTAAGACCAAACCTACCGGAAGATCGCCAGGTGTTGAAGCTAATTGTCTTAGTGGCCAAACCACGGTACTACAACTTCTGGTCAGTCCGTTACATCAATGGGTCCAAAAAGACCCTTTCCCATTGACTTACATTATGCTCTTATTTAAATCATCATGTCCTCAAAGTTGTAAAATGTTTCCCACAAAAAAAAATATATATATAAAAATGTGTATACAAATATAATATAATCAATATATTAAAATGAACAGTCACTTCAATATCGTTGAGAAATGTACATTAGTGCAAGAAGCCATTGAATTCAGCTGACACAAAATTGCTTAAAGCCAAGTACTCATCATGTGTAGTGGCACTTTTCAGAATCATATATATTAAATTACTGGTTTGGTGATTGTTGATGCATTAGTGTGTCTATTACAGCTGGTCAAGGTGGAGCTAATTTAATTACTTTACTTATTGCTGCTAACATATAATTATATTTTAATATGTTTATTTATATTTTGTAGTGGCTATTGATCTGAATCCGTAAAGTAACTCGAACTGTCAAATACATTTTGTGGTGTTCAATATTGGCTTTCAAATTGTAGTGGAATAACCATTTATTGTACTTAGGTAAATGTACTTACTAGATACTGATGTGTGTGTTGGTGCAGTTCTGGAGAAGCAGTGCCACGAACTGATGATGATGAAGTTTGGGAGGGAGGTGGACCTGGAGGCTCTGCAGACGCTGTCAGGGAACAGGAGGCTAGAGGAGCTCAAGCAGGAGAAACTCCTCCGAGAAGCTGCATACGCCAAGGAAATCAAACAGTGGGATGTACGCTGACAGTGTGTGTGTGTGTGTGTGTGTGTGTGTGTGTGTGTGTGTGTGTGTGTGTGTGTGTGTGTGTGTGTGTGTGTGTGTGTGTGTGTGTGTGTGTGTGTGTGTGTGTGTGTGTGTGTGTGTGTGTGTGTGTGTGTGGTGTGTGTGTGTGTGTGGTGTGTGGTGTGTGTGTGTGTGTGTGTGTGTGTGTGTGTGTGTGTGTGTGTGTGTGTGTGTGTGTGTGTGTGTGTGTGTGTGTGTGTGTGTGTGTGTGTGTGTGTGTGGTGTGTGGTGTGGTGTGTGTGGTGTGTGTTGGTGTGTGTGTGTGTGTGTGTGTGTGTGTGGTGTGTGGTGGTGTGTGGTGTGTGGTGTGTGTGTGTGTGTGTACGTTTGAGCACCTTGTGAGATATCTGTATTTTTGTGTGTGTGTTTATTTAGGCCAAGGTAGAAGAGGCGCGTGACCGTTTGATGGAGGTGACCAGGTGTAACACTGAGCGAGTTCTCTGCATGACAACTCTTATGGACAAGAACCGAGAACTGGAGCGTAAAATCAACGCTAGCCAGAGGAAAATGGTAATTTCTGTGCACATTATTTTTATATGTATTATCAAACAAAGCTTGGATCCCCACTGTCGTATAGGAGTATTAAACTTCCCTTTCAATGAGCTTTATTTCAAGCTGATTCAGAGAGACACATTCTGTACCCACAGAATTTCTATTTCCCTTTCTAATCTGCAGAGGGCGACAGACATTACACATAGTCATGTGATCTATTAGATGTTATATTAAAGGGGACCAATCATGCAAAATGCACTTTTTGATGTCTTTTATACATAAATATTTGTCCCCGGTGTGTCGGGGAACTCACGCAGCGTCAGAAAATAAACCCTCTCTCTTTTCCTCCGTACCCAAATCTCTAAAAACGGGGGTACAATGGAGCTGATCCAGATTTGCGTCTGATATGATGTAATATCGGCGGCGGACCCACAGCACTATCAGAAACGTTGCTTTCAGAAACAATGCGTGACTGTTTTGGACGTAATATGGTCTTTGTTTACATTAGCAAGCATCACTAACACTCAGAGCTAACCTGTACTTGAGAGCACATGTATGAAGAAGCAGGATATAAAAAAACTCACCTTGTGGTATAACCGGCAAGAGAGAAAGCCTTTGAGCTCCATACTGTTTCAGAAATAATCTTTGATAATCCATGATATGGCGTTTCATCACAGCAGTATCTGCCGGTAGAATCTCCCGCATGAGCTCAGCCCCTTCTTTTTTTAAAGCTTTATACCCAGAATCAGCGCTTTTGTAACAGGAAGTGAAATAGAGGGATATGAAGCATGGCTAGAATGGGTGATCTGTTTGGAATTTTGAGCAAAACACCTCATCGATATTTGTATACCAGGGCTGACCCTGGCCAACTTGTGGCCCCACGCAAAGTTAATGCAAAGTTAATGCAAAGTTAATGCAAAGTTAATGGCTTGATCTGCGTGTAGGGAGGGGCGGGCCTGTCTGTGACCTATGCTATTGCCTAAAAATAGCATGATAGGTGACCTTTAAAATAATTTACTAGAGCAGTCAAGAAACAATCCACACACAGTAATCACACCCAGTTTTGTTTGTGGTAATTATAATAGGTTATTGTTTTACCTCAATTTAAAGGTAGGGTAGGTAAGTTTGAGAAACCGGCTCGAGATACGCTTTTTGTTATATTCCATGGAATGCTCTTAACATCCCGATAGCAATGAATATCTGAAGTGCTTTGACAAAAAATCCATAAAAAAATGTAATCTGTGGAAGCCGTAATACTGTAAAAAGCACGACCAATCATTTTAGCTGGCCCGGCTAAAATAACTGGATGGCCTACCTGCCTGTCAGCCTTCCATCTGTGCACAAACTTATCTCGTGCCCTCATTGGTCATGTGCGCGTTCGTGTGTGTTGGAGGAGGGGCTCTATAAGGAAGTGGCAGATTTTCTCCGGTTGTGTATTTTCAAATTCTAGCGATCTCGAGCCGGTTTCTCAAACTTACCTACCCTACCTTTAAAAAGGCGGTTGACTAAATTAGACTCCTTAACATCATCACACTAGGTATTGTAGGTTTATTGCCAAACATTAGCTTTTTACTTCTGTCGATTGTATTTACGCTTCAAAAATCACAAAGTGGTGATAATATTTGGATATTATATTTCAAGATTATTTGCTGTGATGTACCGAAATCCAATAGGTTAATCCCATTGCTTTTTGTTAAGGGAGTTCTCTCGATGGTAACTTCTGGTTCGACATACAAACACACATCATCACTGCACCACTCATACCTTAGGAATGTGTTTGTGCGTATCCAGGGCAACAAGTCCCAGGACTACAGGAGAGGTGTAGACCAGGTGGAGATCCAGAGGCTCCAGGGGCTGGTGAAGACACAATCACAGCAGGCTGAGGCGCTCCGGAGAGAGATCGGCCTCCTGTCCCGTAAAGGAGGCCACGTTCTGCCCCCAGCCCAGGCCCGGCTGCCCCCGATCACCCCCTTGCCCAACCCCACAGGACGCACCAAAACCAGCACACAAGGACCGGGGCGTCTCCTCAGCCAGGTTAAAGCACCAGACTCCAGCAGACAGGGAGTCAATCAACACTCTGCTTAGTAACAGTAAAAGCACTTTCTTATAAATTATTGTTCTGAAGATTCAAAAATACTTCGGTTTGCTGACCATTAAGTTTGTTTCTGAAAAAGCTGCGCAGTGCAAACCTGTTTATATTATTGACCCCAAGACTTTTCCTATCACATCACCCTCAGCTAAGCTAACAACAATGAAAAAGGAGTCTCTGTTTGTATGTCCGTCCTTCCATTCCTTTGGCCAACGTTCATCAGTGGACTTCACACATCGGGTCGGTCATACTGTTGTACAAAAGTATACACACAATATAGGGTAACAACAAGAAACGAGACTAAAAACTAAGTAATCTAAGGTGCAAACATTTGACAAATTAGGGAAATTAGCACCAACTACCTTTCACCCAGGGAAACGTAAACCAATGGAAACATCTGGTGATAAATCATATCGATTATTTTGGCGGCCACATCTGATCAGTTTTGGGCAAAATTATTAAGTCAAAGATGTGATGAATAGGCCTTTTTCACAGCATCATTTTCACTTGTCAGTAGAAAAATCTATGTGTACCCAATAACGATTCTATTCTATAAGCCATCCTAGTTTGACAGTTTGCCAGCATTAAAGGTCCCATGTCATGCTTTTCCAGTTATTACCCGTCCCCTTGAGTGTTATGTAGCTTTTTCTGCATGTAAACCGTCTGCAGAGTCACAAACCCTCAAAGTACACCCTGTAGCGAGTAAAACTCTAACACAGAAAAGACCTGTCTATGCTGCCCCAGAACGCCTCGTTGGACATTTCTCTTTTTCCATTGTTTGCTTCCTGGGTTCTGTGACGTGTGAACACCCAAATCAACAACAAATGACTGGATTGCCCCAAATGGACCAATCCGCGGAGCACCTCGCACACCAGGATCCCTTGGCTAACTAACAGGGAGTCCCCATTGACTTGCATAGAGCTCCCTGAACGCTGGTAATAGACGAGTTGGGATCGCGGAGAAATGCTCTCCGCAGACCCATGCTCACAGCATTATAAACCTTTTTCTTACTCAATATCAAGCCACACTTATTGTTTTTACTTCGGCTGTGAGTGTTTGTGTGTGCTCAGGATGAGTTTTGCTTTTTCTCGTTGTATCGCCGACCAGGAAACCTGTCCGCTCCTCGCAGCAGCAACGAGCCTCGCCAATCAGAGCACACTGGGCTCACAGGGAGGGGGGGGGGGGGGGCAGGAGCTCCAACAAGCCGTTTAGGACAGAGAGTGAATACACATACTATACAGAGATGCTGTATGAGAAACCAATGTGATTTTGGAAAATTGCACAATATAAATCTATTCTAGTAGACCTCAACAATGGAAATATGATCAGTAGAAATGGCCATGACATGGGACCTTTAAGAGTACAATGACCCTGTAACCAACAATAAAATCATTAACAACAGGCTTTAGCATTACTTCCAGGATTCCTCGATCCCATTGGAGTTATGTGTCTGTATATGAAGTGTGGCCCTACCTACTGTGTGTGTGTGTGTGTGTGTGTGTGTGTGTGTTTGAGAGTGTGTGTGTGTGTGTGTGTGTGTGTGTGTGTGTGTGTGTGTGTGTGTGTGTGTGTGTGTGTGTGTGTGTGTGTGTGTGTGTGTGTGTGTGTGTGTGTGTGTGTGTGTGTGTGTGTGTGTGTGTGTGTGTGTGTGTGTGTGTGTGTGTGTGTGTGTGTGTGTGTGTGTGTGTGTGTGTGTGTGGCTCTAGCTTCGTGTTGAGTTCAGAGTCTATGGAAATTCCACCTGGTCTGGTGATTTCTGCTGAAACAAAACTTAAAGCCTGCAGTACTATTTCATTAAGTCAAGGCTTTCTGTTCAAATGAAACTTAAAAGCACAATTAATAACAAAGAACATCAATCATAAACCTTTTTCATTTTTCAGCATACACAACAGTTTAACTTTATAATGCAAAGTATGAAGAAGACATGTACAATGCATTTAAAATGTTAGGTTAGAAAATATTGCATTTGATTTAACACTTTTGGGGCTTTCACCATCATTCTGACAATCTCAAAATGTCTCCTGTTCACGTATAGTGAAGATTTTATAATAAAAAACTATAATACATTTAATCAGATTTAGTAAATGTGTATTACAATGGGAGAGGCTTATATCAGGAAATCGACAAAGCAGCATTGGTTCAACTTAGTTCTTCAAACGATTTATAAACTCAATGTGAACAACACTGACGTTAACCAGACTTAACATCACCATGATCACAACATTGATGTTAAGCAGACCATTTCAACAGAAATGTTCTTCTTCTCTAATTCAATTCACTCACTGATCCATCCACTTCTTGTCTAATACTAATAATATATATGAATAATCAAAGTTGGTAAATGTTCATAGAAATGAGTAAGAACAAAGTATCAAACATTGGCATCTGAAAGCACCTGGGTGTGGCCCTTTAAAGAGTGTAGTAGGAAGACAAACACCTATCTCTCGAATCAAGCACTATGGAAACCACTCCCACTTGGTATATTGTTAGTCTCATGCTCGATATTCAGAGGCAGTGAGAGGTGAAATGGCGCTGCAAATACATCAGCTCGGTCGGGACGAACTGTGCTGTTTTATCTGCAAGGATCTGATGAAGGATCCGGTGACTATTGCCTGTGGTTACAGCTACTGTAAGAGCTGTATTAGTAGACGTTGGGATGGAGAGAAGCAGGCTAAAATATACAGCTGTCCTCATTGCAGACAGACCTTTGAACCAAGGCCTGCCCTGGTGATAAGCACCGTGTTGGCAAATTTAGTGGAGGAAGAGAAGAAGAAGACAGAACCCCAGGCTGGTCCATCTTATCACCGTGATGCTGGACCTGGAGAAGTGGGATGTAGTCCTACAAGGAGAAAGAGGAAATCTCTGAAGTCCAATCTGCAGCCTCACGATGAAGTTCCATTTAAGAAAACCAAGCTAATTGAAGCTTCGAAACTTCATGAAATGAGTGAGAAGCAGAATGAGCTTGCGGTGAGTCGGCAAAATATACAGCAGAGAATCCATTATGAAGAGAAAATTGTGGAGGTGCTTCTGCCGGAGGTGGAGGCCATAAATCTCTCTGCTGATGAAGCAGTGAGGGAATGTACTGAATTAGTCAAACTCATTGAGCAAAGAAGCTCTGATGTGACGCAGAAGATTAAATCCCGGCAGAAATATGAAGTGAGTCGGGTCAAAGACATTCAGGAGATGCTGCAGAAGGACATCAGTGATCTGAGGAGGAAAGACACTGAGCTGGAGAAACTCTCACAAACAGATGATCAGATCAAGTTTCTACAGGCCTACCGCTCACTGTCAAATCTCAGGGACCCTGAAAAACCATTCAGAGTCAAAATTGGTCCTGTACGATACTTCAAGGGTGTGACAGCAGCTGTGTCAGAGGCCAGAGGTAAAGTACTGGAGAGCTTTGATAAGGAATGGATGAAGATCTCAGAGAAAGTGCCTGAAGTGTATGTTAAATTGTTGCCAGACCCCCAGACCAAAGCTGATATTTCACAATATACAGGCCCCAAAGTTCTTCTCAAACTGGATCCAAACACAGCGAGCATGCAGATACAATTATCTGAAGATAACAGGAAGGCAACCAAAGTGAAAAAGCAACACTCATATGATCCACACGTAGACAGATTCATGGCTAGGTCTCAGGTTCTGTGTGGAAAAGGTCTGACTAATCGTTGTTACTGGGAAGTGGAGGTGAGTGGTTTCGGAGTTTCAGTAGCAGTCGCATACAGAGATGTTCCCAGAACAGGACAGGAAAGTGCATTCGGGGACAATGACAAGTCTTGGGCACTAGAGCTTAGTAAAACGATTTGTAATTTCAAACACAACGGTGAAAAAAAGGCCATTCCTGTTTCTGTCCTTCAATCCTCAAGGATTGGTGTTTTCTTGGATCAAAAGGCAGGTGTTCTGTTCTTCTACAGCGTCTCTGAAACCATCACCCTCCTCCACAGAGTCCACACCACATTCAAGCGGCCGCTCTATGCTGGACTCGGTGTTCATTGTTATGGAGCTTCGGCTACATTTCGTGACATCTAGGTCGAACAACTGTCAAGTGAGGTCAGTGAAAACTAAATGGACATTATTTAGTGAGATCTGCAGCTGAGATGTGTGATCTCACATAGAGTTGTTCATATCATTGTGTCTCCCAGAAAACATTGAGCAGAATATCTTTTGTAACCTTTTGTTAGAGTTTTTTTGTGTGCCTTTTTTTCAATATTTATTTTGGGTTGGGACATAGGGGCTCAGATAAATAAAACATATATACAGTCTTTAACATATGCGATTTTAAGTAGTGCCTGTTTGTCACGTGAGGGACAACCTCTGACATACAGTATCTTGTTTATTCTATATTTACATATTATTGGATCTTTTCATTTGTTAGTAAAATTGTCTTGTCGTGTCTGTTTACCAGCGTTTGATCACAACAGGTTTCACAAGTTGTGCTTTTGAAAAGGGAAAATCAGCCGTCTTAAAATAGGTGTGGACATGTCCCCAGTTTAAAAAACATCTATATGGGTGTATGTGCTATGTTAGATATTCATATTTGTTGTTGTCCTATAATCTGATATTGACACTGCACGACAAGTCTTCTCTTTGTAATCATTTCATATTTGATCATGTGTGTTTAATTGCTGTCACTTTGTAATGCAGAGAAAATGTATGTTACTAATCATCAGAGGTGGGACCAAGTCATTGTTTTGCAAGTCCGAGTCAAGTCTCAAGTCTTTGCGCTCAAGTCCGAGTCAAGTATCAAGTCTTTGCGCTCAAGTCCAAGTCAAGTCTCAAGTCAGGATGGGAAAGTTAAAGTCAAGTCCAAGTCCTAAACTTTGACAAAACAAGTCTTAAACAAGTCCTTATGTGCTTTTCAACAAATGTAATGACATCGATCAACAGAATAATACTTAATAATCAAACTGCTCTTTATTAGTCACATTAATAATTTTATTATCCATTTTCTCTCTGCTGGTAAAGTAACGTGTTTTCTTCTATTTTAAGAGGGATCAGTAAGGTTAGGCCACCGTGACGGTTTGATTCAGAAGGAGTTTAATGTATAAGATCCCTGATGTTGAGGTGACCAGAATGTTTATTTCCACTGTGTACAACATGCTATAAGGGACCCACTTCTATCTTTATGCAAGGGATAATGTGCAGCGAGGCGTCTCTATGGGGAAAAGAACACCTGAATCTAGATCCCTCTGCAGGTGGTACTTTAAGTATATTTTGATGATAATGCTTTTGTACTTTTACTTGTAACATTTTGAATGCAGGACTTTTTATTGTAACCGAGTATTCCTACACTCTGGTACTTTTACTCAAGTACAAGATCTGAACTTCTCCCACCTCTGACAATAAATCCTGAGTGGTTACCAAAAGAAAACCCTGCTTTGAAGGTTATTTTTATTTTACAAATCCTGCACTGAGCTCTGCTTTCTCCAATATCATTGACATGCAGCCAGATGCTGCTTCTTCTTTCGGTTTTCGCTCATTTCTTGACTTTTTCCGACGCGCTTGCATTTAAATCCGGCTCCCCGTCTCCCCGTGGCTCTGTGTAGCTGGCCTATACCACTACACTTGCTGTCTTTGGAGCGTCTGCCCCCCACCCTTCTTTCACATAATGGTATGATCCTAGTGTGTCCTCGCATATGATTGGCCGCATGGTGGCTCAGCAAAATAAAGTCCCGCCCCTGCCTGCATGGATTCACAGCAAGAGTTGGAGCGGCTGAAGATTCTGCTCTCCCCGACGGGAGTCTGCTCTTCTAAAGGCCCCTACACACCAGGCCGATATCGGCCGTCTTGCGTTGTCTGGCGAAAACGGGTTCCTTGTCGCCCAAAGTCAATTTGGTGTGTCCCGAACCCTCGGCCGTGACACGCCTTATTTGGCCTTTCACGGTCGACACCCGGCCGATTCAACATGTTGAATCGGCCGGGTGTCGGACACAAGCTATCGGGCCAAGAAACCACTCTGATCAGCTGTTCAGCTAGCAAATGAGAAGCGAAACGGAAGTGAGGGACGTAAACAAACGATTTAAGGCACAGGACAGCAGCTAAACACCAGCAGGTGATACTTAAAGACATCAAACATAGCCCTTAAATGTCCTCTCTTACCTCCCACACATAGCAGGGACATCTCTGATATCGGCGGGAGCGTCCCCGGCTGTCCTCTGCTGAGAGCTCCGTGATTTGTTTGGTCAAGTCCGGTTTTTCATCTCATCGTAAATTTAGCAAGAAATGGCCATTATTACATTGTTGACTCAATAAACTACACACCCGCCAGAACACTGCGATCATCAGATGCAGGTCTATTAACTGTGATTTTATAGTATGTCTGCACTTTATGTGCTCATTTCATCATTCATGTATTTTTATATTCTAAAACATGTTTTCGATGGACGAGAGTGAAAATGGAACGCACACGCTATTTGTTTGTTTATATCAGTCTGTTCTTCTTCTCTGTCTTCCGGTTGTTGCCTATTTTGAATGACGAATACACACTACCGCCAACTGCTGGTAAGGAGAGTTATTGCCACTCACGCATGCGCAGTTCGTACGTGCTCGGCTGAAGTCTTTGCGGTGATTTCCAGTGCGACACACGGCCAAGACGCAGGAGAATTCGTCGATGGAACTGTCGGTGTCGGGTGTCGGCGAGTTCTCTGGTGACTGCCTGGTGTGTCAGGGCCTTAACGGCAGCTCGCGATCGGCGTGTTGGAGACCTCTGAATTAAATCATCAAGTCACCTCAAGTCAGAAGGCTCAAGTCCAAGTCAAGTCCCGAGTCATTAGTGTTCAAGTCCAAGTCGAGTCGCAAGTGTTTTGTGATTTTGTCAAGTCGAGTCCAAAGTCATCAAATTGTAGACTCGAGTCTGACTCGAGTCCAAGTCATGTGACTCGAGTCCACACCTCTGCTAATCATTAATTAGAATATTGACTTGATTTTGTTTTGAAATGTAGAAATGTAATGTAAAAGGGAAGATTGAACATGAACTTTAAAAAAAGGATTTGATGATTAGATGCTGTCGATAACTGTTAATGAGTCCATTGATTTTTAAAGAATGAATAAAGTTTTTTTGGATTCATTTGATGTCTCTGTTTCTTTCTTCTTAAAAGGCTACACGTTTAGTCGTCCAAAAATGTTAAATATCGGCCTACGACATGAGTTAAATAAAGATTACATTTATACAGAGATGGCAAAACTACAGACATCCTTTACTCAAGTAGAAGTACAGATACTCGTGTTTAAAAATACTCAGGTAAAAGTAGAAGTACTGACTAAACTTCTTCACTTTTACTTGAGTAAAGAAGTTTAGTCAGTGGGCTTTGAAATGTACTTAAAGTGGACCTATCATGCTATATTTGAATAATATAGTGTTGGACCATACCTATATAAGGCATATTTATACTTTTTTTCTTTTCAAAATACCAAACAGATCATGCATTTTAGCCATGCCTCATTTCGCTCAATTTGACATTTTTTTGCTCTGTGTTTGTAAGGGCAGATAAGGGCAGGCATATGTACTACAGTGTCTCCAGCGTCTCCAGCGCTTTCGAATGGCAATGGCCGTGGCTGTCTCCTCCTGATTGGTGGAGTTGGCCCAATAGCCGTAGCGCCACCGTCCTGACGTCAGGACAGTGTTCAAATCTGGATCAGTTTTTATCAGATCCGTTGCAGCCCCTTTTTTAGAGATTTGGGTATGGAGGAAAATAGAGAGGGTTGTGTTTTCTGACACTTGGTGAGTTCCCTGGAACACCGGGGACACATATTCATGTATAAAAGACGTACAAAAGTGCATTTTGCATGATAGGTCCCCTTTAAGTAAAAAGTACCCATAACTACCAGCTGTTTTAAAGAGTACCTGACCTCCCTTTATATTAATAGAACAATAATGTCATTGTTAGCTAATGAATGTTTCCATGCTGAACAACGGCAACATGACAAAGTTTTCATTGGTCCCTCTTCTTTAGAGAAGACCAGGAAATGATGGATACACGGATCGTGTTCAAATCAATAGGCACGCAATGACTCTAAATAATAATGATCACGCCACTAAACACACATTCAAACTAAAGGAACCAGCCTGTTTGGAAAATGAAAGAAGTAGAAAGTACAGGTATTTGTGTTCAAAATGTAAGAAGTAGAAAGTACAGGTGTTTGTGTTAAAAATGTAAGAAGTCAAAGTAAAAAGTCGTTAGAAAAAATAAGTAGTGGAGTAAAGTACTGATACCAGAAAAATCTACTTAAGTTCAGTGACAAAGTATTTGTACTCCACTACTTCCCCACCTCTGCATTTATAACAAATATAAACCTGTTTGAGTATTAAACGCTGGTAAACAGACACTACAGGTCAATAAGAAAGAACAAGACAAAAAACTGAGGTGCAAAAATAGACATGAGTTAAATCAGCAGACACCACCTGTCACCAAGAGAAAAGTAAGCCAATGGGGACATCTGGTGGTGCAACACACACACACACACACACACACACACACACACACACACACACACACACACACACACACACACACACACACACACACACACACACACACACACACACATACACCACAGACTGTACACACTGTTATTAACCACACATCTAAGACACTAAACTGGGGAGGAAATGGATGCGGCAACACCACGCATATGTTCATATTTATATGGCAATTATACAGTTTTGCTTTTTATTTAAAAAAGAACATTGGTGGGTTGATAAATAAGGTAATGCCTAGATTCCCATTTGGGAGAATGTGGTATAAAAAAGTTGTGGTCTGCAAAGGCTCAAATCACTGTGTTCCCTCCAGAAGAAGTTTTTCTCCCACACACACACTAATGAGTAAATTGTTTTACAGTTACAACTTAAAACTATAGCATTAAATGTTCTATTTTACAGTTGAAACACTATTACCGTAAACACAAATACAGTACTTGGAAGTTACTGTGTTTCATTTTACAGCTATAACACTACTGCTGTAACAAATAAAGTAATTACATATTACTGTGTTTCATTTTACAGTTTAAACACTATTACCGTAAACACAAAT